CCACCCAGACACTCTTTTTCTTTGCCCTGGCGAAGGTGCTTCAGCCAAGCAAGGAAGTAAATGAAAAAAAAAGGAAGACATAAGATTCAGGAAGAAAAGAGGTTTAACACAAAAGACAGATGCAGGGAAGTCCCAGGACAGCAGCATGGCAGGGGGCCTAGAGATCCGACAATCCAAATTAGTGCCAAAGACCCGTGGATCTCAGGGGACACTTTTTGCTGATGAAAATCAAATAAATAAATAAATAAATAAGAAAAAGAAACCGAAAAACTTCTTGGTGCTTTTACCCATGTGGGAAATAGTATTAAGTGGCTTCAGAATGTTTTTCAAAATCTTAGGGAAAAGCTAATAATAGGCACATAGAAAACGAACCAAATGACAAAAATGAAGCAGCTATTATCTCTAGAGAGGAAAAGATTGTTCGGGAAAGGAAACGTAATCAGCGAACACTGTGTGTCTCAGTAACGAGCAGCAGCCATAAATTGTGATAAAGCTGCATCGGAGCGGTGGCTAAGGAAAGAGGGAAGTTGCTAATGATGGTCTGATAAGAGCAATCTTCATATTCTATGGTAGGAGTTCAAATGGATAATATCTAATGTTGAAAAAAAATCAAGAAATAGCAGCATATTACATACCGAGGTAAAGTAACAGAAGACATAGCTAAAATTGTTGAAAATTATTATTATTTAACTGCCTCTGGGGAACAGGGCTGAGGGGTGTGAGGAAAGGGCCAATAAACAGCTATCTTCTTACATGCGTTGCATTCTATTCTACAATTCAAATCGTGTGTGTGTTCCTTTAACTGGAAAAAAAAAACCATTTAAAAATGAAAGAAAGCAAAAAAGAAAAAATAGAAAATAAAGAAAGATGAAAGAAAGCGTTGTCTTCCCACATACATTTAAAGATATTTCCATGGGAAAAAAATCACACAGGCCACATCACTGTGCAGCGAAGTGGAAAATAAGACCAAAGGAGATAATGCTTATTCCTCTTGGAAAGAAAACCACGAAGAAAATAAAACAGGCTTCTCTATCAACCGTGAGTTAAGAAGGGAGTGAAACTGAAGTTATAGATTATTTAGAAATAAGGAACAAAGACAGGAATACATACAAAAGTCTAATGAATGTGGCCAAGATAAGAATAAGAGGAAAAGTGATAGCCTTTGTGAGTTTGTGTAAAAACATAAGCTTAGGGGCACCGGGCTGGCTCAGTAGGTTAAACATCTGACTTCGGCTCAGGTCATGACTTCATTTGTGAGTTGGAGCCCTGAATCGAGCTCTCTGCTGTCAGCACAGGGGTTGCTTGAGATTCCCTTGCCCCCCACCCCCTCCGCCCCTGCACTGCACTCTCTCTCTCTCTCTGAAAAACAAATAGACATTAAAAAAAAAGAGAAGTTTAGAAATAAATGAATAATGAGGTAAATCTAAAGTGGAGGAAGGAAATAATGCATGAGGAAATAAAAGGCAAAGACCTGATCAATAAGACGAAATCTATGACAGGACTAAGAAGACAGACAAACCTTTGGCAAGTCTGATTAAAACAGATAGAATGGTCAAGGGGGTTGCCTCCCCAACAGTCATTCCACCTTAGAATGGGTAAGCTGAGGAAGTTATGGTGGTCAATCTCATTCCCCTTTCTAGTGATTGACTTAGAAATGGGCAGGTTACCCCGTCCTGACCAATATGATATGGCAAGATTGCTGGAGAAAGTTTCGACACTCAAGAAAGAGACATGTAGAAGAGGTACTTGGTCCCTTTCTTTCTCTATATTTTTGGGTCTGATGCTTGGAGCTGCTAGAATCATCTTGCTGCTAGCCCAAAGGCCATGCCCAGAGAATTGCAGAAAACTGGGTCCAGAGTCCTGATGTACTGGAGACATCCTGTCTCTAGACTTTTTGTTGTGTGAGATAATGCATTTCCTCACTGTTTAAGCCAATTTGAATCATGCTTTCCTGTTATTTCCAGCTGAAATCATCTTGCTGATAAAAGAAAGAGAGCTCCAAAGCGAGGTAAGAGAGGGGGAACGATTTATGTGGACAGACACATAAATTATTACCAAAAAAATAGAAGAAAACGTGTACAGCCGCATACCAATAAAATGGATGATTCTTCAAACTTGACTCCAAAGGAGATAGACAAGCCTGATGAGACCAATAATAACAGGGAACAAAAGTTTGTCAAAGATGTATCCCAAAAAAGGGTATCGAGTCCATGTGATATTATAGGAGAAATCTATCAAACCTAAATTGCCTATCCTAAGGGGAAGATGACTGACCTTAGAAAGTACAAGAAACAGGGCAGGTTCGAGGATGTAGGAAGTTGGTCTCATCCAGGCAGCGTCACTGGGATGAATGAACCTCACTTGCCTTCCGTCATGGTCTAATCTGTTCCAAATTTAATTTTTTTTTGATGTTTATTTATTTTGAGAGAAAGAGAGAGAGAGAGAGAGAGAGAGAGAATCCCAAGCAGTCTCCAAGCTCTAAGCTGTCAGCACAGAGCCCAACGAGGGGCTCAAACCCACAAACCGTGAGATCATGACCTGAGCCAAAGTCGGGTGCTTCACCGACTGAGCCACCCAGGCACCCCTAATCTCCAGATTTAACTTCCAGGGAGACGGCACCTGCTCGACCCGCTGGGGTGCATGCTGTCCTCTGGGATCCGATAGGTATACAGTGAGCCTACCTACCCACATGGACTGACAGAGGCAGCAGAATCCTGCCAAAGCAAAATCAGTCTGTTACGAAAATTGGGGGGAAATTCATGCTGGGTCGGGAACAGTAACATAGTCCATTATAATCAGATTGGCACAAATGTAAAACTTTAAATGCCCACCATGGACAAGGGCGTCAGGAATTAGGCACCCTAATATACTCCGGGGGGTGGGGTGGGGCACGGAGGCTGCTTTCTTAGAGACAATATGAAAGTATCTTTGAGCCAATGATGCTACATTTAGGACTTTATCTTTCAGAAACAGTCACACGTGCAGTCAAAAATACCCCCCCCCCAGCATTGTTTATTGCAGCATTGTATGTAACAATGAAAAATTGGTAACATGTAAAGTGTTGGCTAAACAAAATGTGGTATAGTACTTGCACTGTGGAACACTATATAATCCTTAAAAAGAAAAAAGTTCCATGGAAAGAACTCCATAATATGCGGTCAATCGAAATAAACCAGCTGCATAAGCATTTGTAAAATATGGTCCCACTTCCGGTCTTAAAAAGACCGTAAATATGTGTTAGATGCATACCAAACAATTCAGAAATACACACATGGTCAAGAGCAGTTACCCACAGAAAGGGGAACAATATGGGGATGGTTAAAGGGAGCATTTGCTTTTACCTGATATATTCCTGTATTATTTGAGCTACGTACTTACAGTGAGCATGAATTTCTGTCTATGTGCACTTATGCACATGTGACAATACGATGTGATCCGATTTTTAAAATACACATACCTATTGCTACAGATGGGAACACGGATTGGCACCCTTTGAATGTCGGCATTGACTGTTTCCGGTTACTAGGCGTATAGGTGATTTTAATGACCTCTTTTGCTTACCTGTATTTTAATTTTATGCAAAGAATATTAGTGTAGTAAAATAATTTACATAGAAATCTTGATTTCCTTTTGGAAACAAGTTGCTACCAGGAAATTTATAAATAGATATACATTATTCCCATAAAAATGAGCATGTGAACAGGAAGAAGAAATGTGAATGGCTAATACTCTGAAACTCTCTAATTCTAAAGCACCTAGTCTGGGATAAAGTAAGCCCTCAATAACCTAGTAATTAGGTTATTGCATTACTATTCCTTATTATTATAACACTATGTGCGCGTGAAATCTGATTGTGGGACTATAAGATGTATCCTAGAAAGCTATGGAAACTATACTGAGAAGGAAGCTGCTAAATCCCAAATGCAAGGACGCTGTTCAAGGAGGCTGTGTTAGCGTCCCAGGAAAATGAGGCTGCTCCAAGGGCACCCACCAAACCCTCAGGGGAGCTGTCAGTCGTGTTTCGAACCTGCCAGGATGGCTTCTCTGAGAGGGTCACGTCCTGCTGGTAAATATAGGACCTCAGCAGCAGGAAGTCAGCAATCTCTCCTGAGGATTCATCTGAAGCTTGGCTTCCTGAGAACAAGTGTTACAAAACAAAGCGATTGTTTTCTTTGCCATCGGAGGAAAAGAAAGAAGACATGGAAACCAGAAGACGTGTTTGCTGAGAGTAGTCAGTTTTTTTTTTTATTTTTTTTTAATGTTTATTTATTTTTGAGAGAGACAGAGACAGAATGCAAGTGGGTTAGGGGCAGGGAGGGAGACACAGAATCAGAAGCAGGCTCCAGGCTCTGAGCTGTCAGCACAGAGCCTGACGCGGGGCTCGAACTCACGAGCCGTGAGATCGTGACCTGAGCCGAAGTCGGACGCTCAACCGACTGAGCCACCCAGGCGCCCCAAGAGTAGTCAGTTTTAAGTGGGACATTCACCCTATACTCCAAATCTTCCCTCTCCTCCACCTCCTACCCATCACCACCTGCCCAAGATTTGTATCGCTGGAAAGAAATAGACCTGTCTACACTCCAACCAATACGGCCTTTAAAAGGTAAAGGGAAAGTTGTTTTCATAGTATTTTATTATAAAAGGAACACACGGTCCATGTAGAAAAATAAGGAAGGAACATGGAAAGCACCCATAATTAACGCCATGACCCTGAAACAACCACTTTTGTTTTTTTTAATTTTTTTTTCAACGTTTATTTATTTTTGGGACAGAGAGAGAGACACAGCATGAACGGGGGAGGGGCAGAGAGAGAGGGAGACACAGAATCGGAAACAGGCTCCAGGCTCTGAGCTGTCAGCCCAGAGCCCGACAGCGGGGCTCGAACTCACGGACCGCGAGATCGTGACCTGAGCCGAAGTCGGACGCTTAACCGACTGCGCCACCCAGGCGCCCCCTGAAACAACCACTTTTAATGTGTGGGCCAATGTTAGTCTGTTTCATCATTTCTGAAATTGTACATACTTCCGTAATGTTTCTCATGTGCCCTGTGACATAAATATTTCCCATGTTGCTACAATCTCTTAACAAATGTAATTTTTTATCTGCCGTGTGGATGTATGCAGAAGAGTCTCGATGGTGAGAAGGACAGAGACGCAGAAGGACTCACTACAGTCAGTTATCTGGGGCCGTATTGTCTTTGAGGACAGGGAGCTTCAGGATTCACACAGGTCGCTCTGGAAGAGTCCTTCTCCTTCTTTGGAACCGCAGCATCCTCATTGTCCTCCCCAAGGGGAGTTCAGGCCAGGCAGGAATTCTGATTCTCTGATTCTGGCCCCTCTGATTCTCCTCCCCGGGTCTCAGGCAAGACAATGGAGATTAAATGTGGTTCTGGTAATCCGGGTCCTCTGCGTCTTCCTCTATGGCTTCCGGGTGCAAGAGAAGTGAATAGGTGATGGCATTCTCAGCCTAGAGAAAGCAGAAAGGAGAGTCACAGGGATGGAGGCAGCAGAAGAGCGGGGACAGGGAGATGGCTGGGACGGCTCACCTCAACTTTGGCTGCATCTTCAGCATCCGTGAGATTGGCTGTGGGCAACAAGAACAGAGATCAGCCAGGGCACTGTTGCAGAAGAGGACCTACCACACTGCCGCAGAGGCTGCAAAGACAAAGCCCGGACCAGACCTGCAAGAAGGACCTGTAGGCCAAGAGCTCCGTTCACCACCCAGGCTCCCCACCCTGGCCAAGCTGGCAGAAGGAGGCAGTCTGTGCTGCGTGCGTTTCAGAGAGTGGCTGACTTTTTCTAGAGGCAAACTAGCCAGCTTGGGGGATCTGAGAACCGGGGAAGAGCTGGGAGCTGTTCAGTATCACAGGGAAGTCAAGTCCAGATTTTTGCCAACCCCAGGAGACCCGGGGTGGGGGTGGGGGACGTCTGGGCATCGGCCAGATGCCCTGCATCTTGCTGGGAACTCTCAGAAGAAGGTGATGCTCCCTGACGTTAAAAGGAAAGAAAGCACAGAGGTGAAAGCGAGGGAGGGAAAGAGGGAAGCAAGCAAATCAGGCCAGTCGACTCCCTGGTAAATCGCTAAAACACACCAAATTCCCACGTGTGTTTTGCCAAAAAGCTCACTTCGCCAGGGCGGGAAGTAGCCTCAGTATCTGCGAAGCAGCATTCCTCAGGAAGGGGCTGGAGGGTCTGGGACAATACGTTTAGTGTCTCCACTCCCCCTCTGAACACAAAGAGTCTCTGTTCGCCATGCTGCAAATTCTGGAGCAAACCTCTTCCCCAATTCTCCTTCCAATACATTTCTCAATCATCCCAGCAACCTCGCCAGCTGATGGGAAACAACCAGCCCCAGTGCCTGGCTGTGAAATAAATACTTGTGGAATATATTTATGCCAGTATGGACGGAGCCAAACCTCCAGGTGGCTCTTCCCAGTTGTGCTGGGGCTTTACTCTACATCTGCTTTGGCCTGGTGTGGGCTCAGGCCCCGCGTCCCCGCGTGACCTGGCCAAGAACGCAAGGGCCTTGCTCAAAGCACAGCGGGATGAACGCCATTTTGCTCAAGCTCTCGAATCTGTTGGTCCTTTTCTGAGTCACACTCCTGCCGTCTGACCCAGAGTCCTCGAGGGCCTCCTGTTCTTCTCTTGTTGCTGCTGGGGAGCCCCTCGAGAATGTCTTGGGTTCCCTCGTGCTCCAGCTAAACTACAGTCAGGAGGTCGCCTGGAATACTCCTGTTCCTACCTCAGCCGGGGGTTGAATGGTCACTGACTCTCAGAGTGTCAGGCCTGGAAGGGCTTCAAGGTCGTCCAGGCCACTCCACTCCTGTCCTCAGGGAGGTCCCTGCACCCCCATGGTGGGGAACATTCAAGATTCCACCTGATGATGATGACAGAGCTAGGACCACGTCCATGTTTAATAAACTTACTCAAGTGGGCATCAGAACCAAGCTTTGCCCACAAGTGAAGCTCACTGATGAATGCACCCAGTCCTCTAGAACTTTCTCAAGCCCAGATCTCCTCCTGATGCCCCACCCTTACCCCATCACTCCCAGAGACTCCTCACCGTGTCCTGGGAGTATTCCCTAGGTCTCCCCGTTTCCTCTCAATCCTGTTCGTCTCAGTCTTACCACTTCTAACCTCTGTCCCGTGCCAGCTTGGCCAACCCCCACAGAGAGGCCCAGATGTCTCTTATTTCCTGCTCTGGAAACGTTCCCAGCGTTCCTGGCTCCGGAATTCGGACACGGCCCTCCCCCTCTCTATCTGGGACAGGTGGTCTTCTGCCCCTCATCCCCAGTGAGGTCCTCTTGAGGCCCAGGAGTTAGTCTCAGAACTGACCAAGCGATTTGAGCCCCTGTCCTCCTCCCACCGCCCCCTCCCTCTCCTGCGCTCCCAGCTGAACTCACACAAGCCGCTTCCTGCTGACTCCAATCCACCTGGCAGCCCCAGGCAGGGCACCTCAGGCCCCCAGGCGGGGAGCTGCACTCACCTGGTTCCTCAGGGAGGGTCTCTCCCATTTCCCTGTGCTCAGGGTATCCTAGGAGAGCCATGGGGGAGGGGGGGTGCACATAGAAGGTTAGTAGGACTGTGGGCTGGGGCCTGAGTCCTGGGACAGGGACCCAGGGCGGGAATGGATTAGAACCAACACACACCCCTCCCCCACAGAGACTCCTCCCCACGCCCTGGCTCTCCTGCCCAGGCCCTGCCTGTAAGAGGGCTGGTCCAGAGAGACAGGTCGGGCGCTTGGGTTAAGCGTGGCGTCTCCTGGGACCGCCAGGCTCGTTCTGCCTTTTAAAAAAGCACTACTTTCGGGGCGCCTGGGTGGCGCCGTCGGTTAAGCGTCCGACTTCAGCCAGGTCACGATCTCGCGATCTCGCGGGATCTCGTGATCTCACGGTCCGCGAGTTCGAGCCCCGCGTCGGGCTCCGGGCGGATGGCTCAGAGCCTGGAGCCGGTTTCCGATTCTGTGTCTCCCTCTCTCTCTGCCCCTCCCCCGTTCATGCTCTGTCTCTCTCTGTCGCAAAAATAAATAAACGTTGGAAAAAAAATTAAAAAAAAAAAAAAAGCACTACTTTCTCCCACTCAGTGTCTCTCTCTGCACCTCCGCACTTGCTTGTCATCAGTGACTGAGGTGCAGGCTTGCAAAGTGCTTTCCGAGGTATCAGTAACAGTCTTTCCTCCTCTCAATGGCTGAGTCATTTTCCGCCTTCTTCCCCTGGGTGTCTTCGGACTTCCTCTCCAGCAAGCCGGCTTTTCCACGTGAGGAACAGCGACGATTTGCCTATTAGATCTCTATGGCACCTGCCCTCCTGTCTCAGCTCCTTTGCGTTAGTGCTAAGCGGGAAGGAACTGGTTTCCAAGGGCCCAGAATCTTCAGCGCGCCCATCAGTGAACGGAAGGCTGCCTGGCAAACTGTGCTGGGTGGTGCAGAGGGGAAGTGAGCGAGGAGTTACGGTTACTTCCCTCCTGTGGTCTTGCCATCCTCTTTGGAACACAGTTTCGTTCTTTAATGTGGCCTCCGCGGTCTGCGTGACCCGGCCCTTGTCCATTTGCCTGCCTGACTCACGCCTCCTTCCCTCGTGCCTTGCAATTCATGGCCTCAATGCCTCCAGCTGCCTCCAGCGCCCTCCTTGCCCTTCCCTCAAGTCCCAGCCCAGCTGCAGCGTTCCCCATTTCCAAGTCTAGAATGCTCTTCCGGCCCACTTGGCCTGGCTAACTGCTCCCCTCACGTACGGCCTCCTCCATAATGACAACGGCTCTTACTTGCGTGCTGTTGGCTAGGTACTCGGCACTGTCGTGCGAGCTCAGCCTCGTTTATCCTCCTACAATCCTGGGAGGTGGGTTCGATCAGCGTCCTCACTTTCCAGATGAAGACACGGAGGCCCAGAGATGGTGAATAACTCACCCAAGCTCACAAAGCAGGGGAGCCGTGGAGCCGAGATCTAAACTCGGGTGGTCTGGCCCCACCACGTGTGCGTGGGTCACTACATGCGCCACAGCGTCGCGAAAAAGCTTCTCTGATGGCTCGCCGCGTACTGCATCGTGTGGGCTCTCGTGTCCTCTGAACCCATAGCCTTTGCAACTCTCCACCATTGCTGTCATCCCACCCAGTTATAACGATTTACTTGGACTTCTGCCGTTCCCACATCTGTCGTTCCCACTGCACCGTGAGCTCCTTGAGAGCGGAGATCGGACTTAGCCTCCGCTGCCTAGCACAGTGCTGTGCACGTACACAAGTTTGTTCGAGCCTTGTCGAATGAATGAATGAATGAATGAATGAATGAATGAAACGTGGGTTGTGGGGGCACCTGGGTGGCTCAGGAGGTTAAGCATCTGACTCTTGATTTCAGCGCTCATCATGATCTCACGGTTCGTGGGATCGAGCTCCGCATTGGGCTCTGCACTGACAGCAAGGAGCCTGCTTGGGATCCTCTCTCTCCCTCTCTCTCTGCCCCCCCTCTCTCTCTCTTCCTCTCCCTCTCTCTCAAAATAAATAAATAAACTAAAAACAAAACCAAAACAAAACAAGGGGCTATGTCTGAATTATAAGGATTCTCTTAGCCCCAAGAGAAGGGTTCTGGAAATGTTTGGGGTTAGGGCGTTGGCCAAGTAGGAACTGATAACAAGAGGAACCAAGAGAAGCCACAAACCTGAAGTCTGCTTTTGCCTGTGGCGGAACCAGGCCACAACGGCAGCAAGGATGGCCACGGCAGCAATGCCAGCGACCGCGACCGCAATCATCACCGTCACTGAGGAGTCGCTCCAACTGGACCCTGAAGAGGAGAGACTTCAGGACAGGCGGTACTCTCCCACCTCCCACAGTGCTCAGTGCTTCTCCCCGGGAGCTGCTTTGTGTCTGGGTCCCTTGCAGATGCTACACTCACTTCCTCCCCCACCTGCCCTGAATGGGGTTGCTGTGGCTGGATGTGTGCCTCCCCTACACCAGGTGCCTCCTAGAGGCACACGAGGGCCTGTGTGGGGGCAGAGGGAAGGACTCCTGTCAGCTTCAGGGAGAGAAGGGAGGGGGGCCTGAAGCCTTCCTTGGTGGAAAGCACCACCACTGGACCCAGCAAGACCTTGAACTGTCGGGGACACGCCATGCCTTGGGGAGCAAGCCAATGTACATGTCACGAGAACTAAGAAGAACCGAAACCCTCGGTTCTTGGGGACGTCCAGGAGCTCAAGGAACCTCTGCACCAATGAGGGAGCTCTGTGCCATTGCTGTCCTTAGTAGGCTCCTGCATTTTCAGCGGCACACAGCCTTTTCAGCTGGGACCTGAGGCTGAGGGCTCTGAACCATAGCCCCTACTGCTGCCCCTTGGCCAATATTTATCAAGCCCCCCCCCCCCGTTCCTCCCCCTTTTGCCTCAGCGCCCAACTGTTTCGGCTGTGGCATTTCTCAGGCCTCCAAGTAGGCCCGTAGGACCTCGGCCATAACTGTCCAGCCCCCAGTCCTCTCTCCATCCTGATGGGGTTCCCACCTTGGACGGTGATGGCCACGGGCTGTGACGCCTGCAGACTCTTCCCTATCAGTCCTGTGCAATGGTACTCGCCGCTGTGACTGAGGTTTGCCCGTGGGATGGAGAAGGTGGAATTCATGGGGGAAAACTGCTTGGATTTTCCATTCTGGAAGAACGTGATCTTGTACAGAGGCTTGTTCCTCCAGCTGTGGCACCTCAGCACGATGGGCTCCCCCTTCTGGAACACCAGGCTAGGGGTCTGGAGCACCAGCCAGTCTGAAAGACACAAAGGGACCCCAGGACCCAGCAGGTCTTGACTCAACTCTGAGACCCACCCTGTCCTTACTGGTGGGCCACAGTGTGTGGAGGGAAGAGCTTGAGATCGCAATCCAGCGGCCTTGGTCTCCAAAGCTGGCTCCATCATTTGGGAGCTCGGCCATCTTGGGCCTCTTCTGGGCCGTGGATTCCTCAGCTGTGAAAATGGATGACGTAATACCACGCATCTACAATAGTTTCTGGCACATAGTAGGTGTTCAGGATACGCCCGTCTTCTCTTTCCTGTCCTGAGAGAGGGCAGCTACAGCCCTGTCCTGCCCGGGAGGCCCTTGTGAGAAGGATACAAGAGACCGCACCCAAAAAAGGGGGGGCGCCTGGGTGGCTCAGTCAGGTAAGCTGTCGACTGCGGCTCAGGTCATGATCCCACAGTCTGTGAGTTTGAGCCCTGCGTTGGGCTCTGTGCTGACAGCTCGGAGCCTGAAGCCTGCTTCAGAGTCTGTGTCTCCCTCTCTCTCTGCCCCTTTCCTGCTCACGCTCGGTCTCTCTCTCTCAAAATAAATAAACATTAAAAAAAGAAAAAAAAAACACCAAAAAAAAAGACCCCAGGATGCGGTCCCTTCCTTGGGGGAGCGATGGGAGAGATCCAGTCTGACCTAGGAGGTAACATGTGAGGGGACACGGCAGCGACATGTGTCTTCCGGGAGAGTACGAAATCATGGACATGAAACAAATATTAGTTTGTTTGACGTATGTTGGTAATGTGGAGTTTTACTTCAGCGGGGTCTTTGCCTGAAGGCAGCAGTGTCATGGGCGGGGCACTAGCCTGCTGTGTACCCCTTCCTCCCCAATTTTCATCCTTTTACTGAGGAAGAAAAAAATATTTAGTAATTTTGTTGTATAGGGAACAGAGCCTATGAGGGATATTTGTACTCCTGACCTCAGCCCAGGTACTTCTTTTCTTTTCTTTTCTTTTCTTTTCTTTTCTTTTCTTTTCTTTT